CCCTGTCCCAGCTGTGCAAGAGCCAAAGAGAAGCACAAAAGACATGAACAATTTTGTGCCTTGGGCTGGATCTTGGGATGGATGACAGGAGCTGAGCACTGCACTGGTGCTGGAGCCAGAATTTTTGTGGATTTGGGGAGAAATTGGGATGAGCTACATCCATCCTCTGCTCAGGATGTGCCACACTGGGCTGTGGTGCTGCTCCCTCCCTCACAGCTGAGTTTGTGTTGGGTGCAGCTGCATCCCTTGGATTTCTGTAGTGGTGCATTCCCACAGCAGATGGACAGGATCACAGGGCACGTTCATGAATCACCCAAAATTCCATGAACTGGGCAAAGGGGTCGGTACAGCAGCACCATGCAGGTGCTTCTCTGGCTCATCCTCCCCTCTGGAAGCAGGAGGAGCTGGAATATCCCCAGGCCACCCTCCGTGACTTCAGTGGTCTTTGGATCATAAATGATTTATCCAGGACACGTGCTGACTTTGGGGATGAGCCAGGTGTGAAACCCTGTCTCCTGCAGAAGAATCAGATCGAGATGCTCAAACTTTGGGGTTTGAGTCTCTTGGAGGTAGAGGATTAAACCCAGAGCAGCCACAGGTCCCGGGAGATCCCATCCTTGCCTTTCCCCCCTCAGGCTCCCAGAGCAGCTCATCCCAATGTCAGAGTGGTTTCTTGGGGTGGAAAACCTTTGGTGGACCCCAAAATTTTATCCCCACCAGAGCAAGGAGAGTTGGGCATGAGCTGACACGGAGCTGGCAGGATGCAATTTTTAGCTGGGGCGTTATGCAACCCTGGAGAAGGGATGACTAATGTGCAAAAAGCTCCTCTAAAACAACCCAGCCCCGAAAGGGAGATGGAGGGATTTCAGTGGGAGGCACCAAACTGCTGAAAAACCCAACGCATCTTCTCCCTCTTCCTCCTCGCCTTCTTCTGAACAGGATTTGGGGGATGCAGCAGGGAGAAAACAGCTTGTTGTTATTTTTAGGTGGGGTCTGGGTTGGTTTTGGGGGCGAATTAGCATGGGTTAATCCCCGGGTAAGATTAGAAGAGGAGCCGTAGTGGATCAGAGCAGACCTCTAAATATCTCTGGAGCTCAGGTTTTTATCTCAAACAGTGGCCAAAATTGGCTGCCTGGAGAATAGGATAAGAATAGAGCACGAATATTCGATACTTCCCCTGAATATCCTCGCAGGGTTTATCTGTGTTTGGGGATCTGGTAGGAGCTCACGTTCCAGCCCAGGCAAAAGGCACCAAGAGAAAGCCAAGCTGTTGGATTTATTCCTGAGGAACTGAATAAATCCACAGGAGTCCAACTGCCCCTGCCCAAGCCCTAAAATGGCCTTTGAAAAAAAAAAATAACATCAAGGGGTGTGCAGTGACTGTCATGGCATGGCAGTGTGGGGATGGGATGGGATGGGATGGGATGGGATGGGATGGGATGGGATGGGATGGGATGGGTGCTGTGGGATGGGTGTGCTGGGTGCTGTGGGGTGGGATGGGTGTGCTGGGTGCTGTGGGATGGGTGTGCTGGGTGCTGTGGGATGGGTGTGCTGGGTGCTGTGGGGTGGGATGGGTGTGCTGGGGATCGTTCCTGGCAGGGCTGAGCAGGAACACAGGGATGAGCACTGGGTGTGGTACAGGAATGTGTCCCTCACCTGTGGGATGCTGGGCAGGGTGGAACACTCAGAGCTTCAGTGCCCCGTGTGTTCCTCCTGCGATGCTCAGCAGTGGGAATGGGACCAGAGGTCCTGGAGTCATGGAATGATTTGGGTTGGAAGGGCCAAGGGCAGGGACAACTTCTGCCAGACCAGGGTGTTCCAAGCTTTGTCCAGCCTGGCCTGGAACACTCCAGAGGTCTGGGTGACACAGGGCTGCCCTGGTGGAGTCCTTGCACTCCTCTGCCTGTGTCTGCCCACTTTGGGACATGGATCAGCATTTTGGGACAAGGATTGAACCCCTGTCACCACCCACCCCTGTTCAAGGAGCCAAACCAGAGCATCAGGGGGATTTGGGAGCAGTTCCCCTCTCCAGCATCAGCCCCTTCCTTCTCTTTTCCTCCTGGAAGACTCAGAGTCCAGCACTGCATGGAGGCTGCACCATGATCCCGGGGTTGCTTGCAAAGTATTAATTTTTATTGTTGCAACAACTGCTCTGTTTCTCGGGAGATGCCTGAGAGAGCTGAGAAAATAGAAAGGCCTGTCAGGCAGCCGGGCAGGAGGTGAAGATGTCAAGAGAGTAATTGCTCTACCCAGAAGGAGCCTGTTCCTGGCTTCCCCAGCACTGCCAGGAAAAATCCTCACTGCTTATTTGATGACAATAAAGAAAAACAGAAAATAAATAGCAACCCCATGGCTTGCCCGTGCTGACGAGGAACAGGGGGAGCAGAGGCAGATGCAAAATAGGATCAGTGGAGCTTATAAATAGGAGCCTCCCAGCTCCCAGTCTGTTACTTCCTTACCTCCACCCGGGCAACTGATCCTTAGGTTTTACCCACAGAAAAGGTAAATGGAGGCTCAGAAAGGGTTCTGTGAACTTCTGGGAACAGGGTCACACTTCCTCCTGTGTGGGACAGGTGGGGACAGGGAATGTGTCCTGGTGGCT